TGGTCAGCGTGGTCACCAGACCACGCTGACCAATGAGTGCTTGCAATTTGCGAGCAAAATTCAAAATGCATAGGGCAGGACTGCGCTGGACAGTACGGGGTAAGGACAGTACACCTGTACCGGCGGAGGGTAAGGACTGTTTGCCGAAAGGTAAGTATAGCCGGGCGGTGGGGGGTTTTGGGAGAGACGGGGGGCCAGATTTGATCGGGTAATTCCATTTTCCCATATTACCTGGGAAAGTGAACTTGCCCTTTAATGCACATTGTGCGTGTGGAAGAGTTCTGCTGCCTCGCTACCACAATACGGCACAGTGAAATGGCGGCAGCACTCAACGCACACACACAATGTCCTATGCGTGCGTTTATTTGCATGCAGATGGCGTGGGCAGCAGGTTTTTTTTTACATAGTCACTTTTTTAAAAAATATTTCCTATCACATAGGGATTTAAAATCCTCTAAGTGATAGTTTGGAGGTGACAGGTTCTTTTTATGGAACCTGCCCTCCTACACAGAACTGATCTGTGTAGTTCCTGACAGCTGAGGGGGGGCGGTGTGGACAGAATCACTGCCTCTTGTTTCATACAAGTGATCAGATCACTTGAAAACGAGCGGCGGCTCCACACTGCACACTTAGCTCTGCTTGTCCGGAGCGGGGCTAAGTGTACAAAAAAGCTACTCGCCCGGCGCCAGAAACTGCATGTCCCGGGCGTCGGGCGATAGGAATTCCACACCCCTGAGCCGAGAAAGATCCCGACAATAATGTCAAGATCCAACCCACAGCCTGGATGACAGATGGCTCTCCCTTTCTAGAGCCAGAGGCAGCTGTGCCCGCCCCCTCCCGCATCTGTCCCTCCAGTCAGCGCTGGAGGACCATGGGAGAGGGGAATACCTGTGGGGAACAGGGAGAAGGCCGTGAACTGAGCGATCAGCAATAGCCTAGTTGGGTAAAATAATTTTTTGAGACCCTGGCAATGATTTAAAATACAAGTTGGACTAGAACTGGTTGTGTTGTATAGACTAGGAAAAGCTTAGAAACTCTGTTAGGTTTTAATTGTCTGAGGCTTCGTTGGTAAGATTTCCTTTTATTTTCTGTTCCAGGGACACTGTTCTCATCAGACAGGAAACATTTGAAAATAAATCTGTATTAGGGAGCCACACAGCAATTAAAAACCTGGAATCGGATTAAATTCTATCCGTGGTTGGCCCTATCTGCTCGATGAAAGTTGATCATTAGATCTACTTTTGTCAAAGGTACATACTGGAGAATTGTCAGCCGATTAGCGCTTGCAAGAACTTTTCAGGTTTTCCGATCAAAATGCACACCATGGGAGATTCATTCATCCAAGTTGTTAGTGTGGATGAAGGAATCTGTTTTTTTTTTTTTTTTTTCCTCCAATGAAAAAAAGTATATCCATATTTGTACCCAGCTTTAGCCTGCAGCATTTTCTAACCTTCAGCTTTTTTTTTTCCATTGTAGGTGAATATTTGGAGAAAATCATTCCCCTTGTGGTAAAATTTTGTAATATTGACGATGATGAGCTGAGAGAGTATTGCATTCAGGCATTTGAATCGTTTGTAAGAAGGTAAGATTTAATAGTTTCTGTTCTGTGGATCCTTAGTCTGTTTTATTTGTCTGCTTGTAGTGGGCTGGTCACCTCCGAGCTACCTACAGCGTTCCACCTGAGGTGCCCAACACTGGCAGCCAGGCATACTGCCCTCTGCTTGAGTCTATGCAGTAGTTTGAGTTTTCTCTCCCTGCTCTGTCGGTCATGACCGCCGCTTCTGCTCTATCCAGGTAGGACTTAACTTCATTTATGCTCTTATGTTTTGCGCACCACTTGTGGGAATCAGCCTGTAGCCTCTACCAGTGATGTCCTCAGTCTGGCTTCCTTCAGGGCTCCTAAAGCTGCCATGACTATTTTGGTGCTGCCTCTGTTTGCAGCCTTCCTTCATGAAGGCTGGCAAAATCCTGGCATGTTTGTACCTCCCAAGCGACTATCAGTCCTGCACCTGTTGAGGAGGACTTTGTGGTCTGTCCAAAATGGGGGGGAGGCATGTTAGCCTCTGAACTCCTTGGACAGCCAGCCTGCATCTCAGATGGTTGGGTGAGAGAGGTGGTTTCCAGGGTCTGCAAGCTAAAGTTTACCTCACAGCCCCCTCTCCTGGTCCATCACTTCCAACCTGCTTGTGTCACTGCACAGATTAGCAAATCCATGCAGCCCTAGCTTCTCTTCCAGAGCAGGTGTTATTTCGCCGGTCTCTGTGGCAGAATGGTTTTAGGGGGTCTACTCTGGTGTGTTAACAGTCCCAAAAGGGGTTATCCATCTTATTTTATATTTCAGTTTTCATTCAGGTCCATATAGAATTCACCAGGCCTATCAAGTCACTCTTTATGAGGGGAGACTTTCTGGCCTCAGGACACCAAGGATCCTACCTGCATGCCCCCATTTTTTTTCAGTGCATCAGCAATTCCCTTACTTTTCCGTGGGTTCTCTGCACTTTCAGTTTGTGACATTGCCATTCACCATTCTTCTGCTTCTCGGATTTTCACCTAAGGTGCTGGCCCCTGTGATAGTCTTCTGAACTCTTGTGCGATATCTAGATCAGAGTTCAACTTTTTTCAGTTGCAACTTCCTTTAAAAGTATGAAAAGGCACCTCAAGTCAAAAATGTATTGCATTTTAAGGTGGGACCCACACAAAAACACAGTGGGTTTCCCCCCTTTAATGTCACCCCCACCAGTGGCGGACCTAAGGAACAAAGGGCCCTGGTGCAAGATTCAGCCCGCCCGCATCAGACGCGGCTCTGTAATCGCCGGCTGCCGCTCCTCAAGTGGGTCCTCTGCAGGCCCCTGCTGTCTGTCCTCTACAGTGCATGTTTAGAGGGCCGCTTCTGCCTGATTCAGCCAGCCCAAATTGTATACTAGCTGGATCAGGCAGACGCAGCCTTGTAAACAGGCACTGTAGAGGACCCACTTGAGGAGCGGCGGCCGGCGATTACAGAGCCGCGTCTGATGCCGCACAATCAGTTCACCCCTGCAACGGGCCCCCTCGCTACGCCACTGGCCGGGAGTGTCGGATAATCCAACACTCCTGCGGAGAGACCGGGGGCCTGTCGGGTGCTGGATACCAATCCGGCGGCCGGCAACTTGCTGGGCCCCCCCAGGCTGAGGCACCGGCGGTAGTGCCGCCACTGCTCCCCACCGTTTACATCCCAAGTGCGGGCAATGGGCAGGTAGACTTCCTCAGCCGACAGCACCTGAACCCAATGGAATAGTCCGTACACCTGGAAGTGTTCCAGAACCAGTGTCATAGGTGGGAGGTTGCCAGATGTGGACCTCCTGGCCTGCAGGTTCAATGACAAACTGTATAGATTTGTTTATATGTCCAGGGATCTTCTGGTGGAAGCATTGGATGCTTTGGTGGCTCTGGGATCAATATATCCTGATCTACATCTTTCCTTCCTGAAATTTCTTCCTTGTCTGCTCTACAGGATCGAGATAGAGGGCATTGCATTGGTCCTTATAACTGTGATTTGGCCCTGCCCGGCAGATGTGGTACTCGTTTATGATCACGTTCTTGGTGCTACTTTGCTACAAAACTGAGTCATGCTGCAGGGGATTATCCCGGACTGGTGTACAATGTTTTTTGTTTGCTAGTGTCCAAATTGTTCTATAGGCAGTACAACAAGGTCTGTCTTAATCGTTGCAGTCGCTGTCCCAGATTTGGCTACTGTTCAGTGCTTGACATAAAGGTCACAGTTCCCTAACCTTTTTCATATCACCATGTTGTGCAGATCTGAATATCCAACTAGCATAATTAGCTTGGTATTTGCGCGTACAGCTGATCATGTTAAATAGAAGCATCAATTACCCATTCAATTAAACCTTTGCTTCTGAGAAGGACATTTAACAAAGTTTTAAACTTTTTTGTACAGGTGTCCAAAGGAAGTATATCCACATGTATCGACTATTATTAACATCTGTCTTAAATATTTGACTTATGACCCAAATTACAACTATGATGATGAGGAGGAGGATGAAAATGCTATGGATGCTGATGGTGCAGATGATGATGATCAAGGTATTCTTCACTAAATCCTAAAATCTAAAGCATTAATCTGCTTCGTATAGAATTTCTATTTAATTTGCTAAAGACCAGGTTACCCATATGTTGTGGTGATCACATGCACCATTTTACTATTCAGCAAAATAACCCTTTAAATTTGATATTTTGTTTAACTTTATTAATATATGATCTTAATAAAAGAAAAACATGGCAATATATCATTTGGTCTGTAGACAGTTTAGCTTTCATGGTTTTTGATTGATATATACACTCACACACACTCTAACTGAAGTCTAAATCTTGTTTGTTTTTTGTTATCTCTAATGGCAAATTGTTAGTCTGTAAGTTTACTCTAACTATTTGGCTTAGCTTATATGCTGATATGCACATAGTCTGCCATTGAATATCCACTTAACAGAATTCTTGTATGCGTATGAATGTTAGAAATCCTGATAATTCTATAAGCAGTGTTTTTACAAAGGAAATGTTTTGTATTGTTTTAAATTGCATTGGTTATCATGTTTGGTTATGTGCACATAGTGTTCAGGAGAGTAGTTCTTTAAGCATATTTTAGGTTTGTATCGAATGGGGAGGTGTTGAAACCACCCTATGTTTTTGTTACCACTGGAAAAATGCGATGTAATGTCCTTGCGACCATTGTCACCATAGCAGAAAGAAACAAAGCTTTACAATTGCCTCCAGAACAGCAAGTGAGGCGGAATCTTACAGTGGGCATTTTTTTTTTTTCCCCCTAATGACAACGTAGAGATGGCTCCTCTTGCTAATTAGAGATGTATTTATTTATTTGAGATTTATTTCTTGTATTTCTGGCAAAGGAAGTGGTCACTATTTATTTTTTTCCTCTAAAAGGGGTTTTAATCATTCCCTACTTAAACACAAAACATATACTTTAAGTTTTGCAGGCTGTAGTATTTCTAATGCCTGCTGAGAACTCTGACACTCAAAGCTCCATGAAAACAAAATGCTTGGCAACGTTTTCACATTGTTCTGCATTGTGTCATATTAAAATTGGGCTTCACAATCTGGCTGCATTTGAGCCTGCAGTGCAGTTTGAGTTGCTTCACTTGCCAATTTTTTTAGAGAAATAGTTTGGTGCTTTGCTGAGAAAGGTGCTAACATTTACAATGCAGTCAAAGTTATTGGGGAGAAACTGATGTGTGATTTAAAGCCTCTACTTTATGCATGACCACATTGTATAACTTCTTTTTTTGTAGGTAGTGATGATGAGTACAGTGATGATGATGATATGAGTTGGAAGGTCAGACGTGCAGCTGCCAAGTGCCTGGATGCTGTGGTGAGCACTCGTCATGAGATGCTGCCAGAATTCTACAAGACTGTGTCTCCTGCTCTGATAGCTAGGTTCAAGGAACGGGAAGAGAATGTGAAGGCTGATGTGTTTCATGCATATCTGTCACTTCTGAAACAGACAAGACCTGTACAAAGCTGGCTTTGTGACCCAGATGCAATGGAGCAAGGGGAAACGCCACTGACAATGCTTCAGAGCCAGGTTTGTTTTCTACATGAAAATGTATTATAATGTTTTATCGTTTAAAAAAAAAAAAAAGACGGCTGTCTACGTCATTGCATGTAGATTGGATAAGGCACTTCCTTTCATAGGGTGACAACACTGAAATTAACTGATGTCTCCTCCATTCCTGGATAACAACTAAACTAGTTTCAGAGATGCACACAGAAGAGGCTTTTCTGTCTGTTTAAACATGAGCTCCAGGGGGACAAAATAAATGGATAAAGGGGGAGGAGGAGTGGGTAAATGGCAGGATCTTTGTTTTTTTTAATCCCCTTTTTTGAAGTACATATAATGAAAATAGTCCAGTTCTGGAATCGATAAAAATTTTAGTAGATTTTGGTTTAGACCAGTCCAGTGCAGCAATGTATATTGTCTGGTTGCTTGATTATATAGCTTATTTCTTTGGTTACAATGAATGGAAGGTTTATGTTCTGCCTTTTTAAAAAATCTTTAGGTACCAAACATTGTGAAGGCGCTACATAAGCAAATGAAGGAGAAGAGTGTGAAGACGCGCCAGTGTTGTTTTAACATGCTCACGGAATTAGTCAATGTGCTACCTGGTGCTTTAACGCAACACATTCCAGTTCTGGTGCCAGGTAAAAGTTTTTTTTTAATTATTATTTTACCTTTTATGTACCACAAATCCAGCCACTTTTTTCAATCAATACAACGTCAAGGAATTTCATTTTTTTTATGATTGACAGAGTAGATTGTAATTTGTAAGATTGTGTGAAAATATTCCAGTCCTAATTTTTTATTTTTTGTTTTGCAGGGATCATATTTTCATTAAATGACAAGTCAAGTTCTTCTAATCTGAAGATAGATGCTCTATCATGTCTGTATGTGATTCTTTGCAATCATTCTCCTCAAGTCTTCCACCCACATGTCCAAGTCTTGGTTTCACCTGTGGTAATCTGTGTCGGAGATCCATTCTACAAAATCACATCTGAAGCTCTGCTGGTTACACAGCAGCTTGTGAAGGTCATCAGACCTCTGGACCTGCCTTCTTCCTTTGATGCAACACCATACATAAAAGATTTGTTTACATGTACAATCAAAAGGCTGAAAGCAGCAGATATTGATCAAGAAGTAAAGGAACGTGCAATCTCTTGCATGGGTCAGATTATCTGTAGTTTAGGTGATAATCTGGGAAGTGACCTCCCTAGTACGCTTCAAATATTTCTGGAAAGACTGAAAAATGAGATCACACGTTTGACCACAGTGAAAGCTCTAACACTGATAGCAGGTTCTCCTTTGAAAATAGATCTAAGGCCGATCTTGGGTGAAGGAGTACCAATCCTTGCCTCATTTCTTCGGAAGAATCAGCGAGCTTTAAAACTCGGGACGCTCTCTGCTCTAGACATTTTAATAAAAAATTATAGTGACAGCCTCACTGCAGCAATGATTGATGCTGTACTGGATGAGCTTCCACCTCTTATTAGCGAAAGTGATATGCATGTGTCTCAGATGGCCATAAGCTTCCTGACAACGTTGGCTAAAGTATACCCATCCTCTTTGGCAAAGATCAGTGGATCAATCCTCAATGAACTTATTGGCTTGGTGCGGTCACCATTGCTCCAAGGAGGAGCACTAAGTGCAATGTTAGAGTTTTTCCAAGCCTTAGTGGTGACTGGAACTACGAGTCTGGGATATATGGACTTGCTCCGTATGTTGACTGGACCAGTTTATGCACAAAGCACTGCACTTACTCACAAACAATCATACTATTCTATTGCCAAATGTGTGGCAGCGCTTACTCGAGCATGTCCTAAGGAAGGTCCAGCTGTGGTTGGTCAGTTTATCCAGGATGTTAAGAACTCAAGGTCCACAGACTCTATTCGCCTCTTGGCTCTGCTTTCACTAGGCGAGGTTGGCCATCATATTGACCTCAGTGGACAGCTTGAGCTGAAATCTGTTATACTGGAAGCTTTCTCTTCTCCTAGTGAAGAAGTCAAATCTGCAGCTTCATACGCACTTGGAAGCATCAGTGTAGGCAACCTTCCAGAATATTTGCCATTTGTTTTGCAAGAGATAACTAGTCAACCCAAGAGACAATATCTTCTGCTTCATTCCCTCAAGGAGATAATAAGTTCTGCTTCGGTAGTAGGCCTCAAGCCTTATGTTGAGAATATATGGTCTTTACTGCTTAAACACTCTGAATGTGCTGAGGAAGGAACAAGAAATGTAGTTGCAGAATGTTTGGGAAAACTGACACTGATAGATCCAGAGACCCTCCTGCCACGGCTTAAAGGATACTTGGCTGCTGGTATGTCTTGTAGTTTGGTGACTAGTTTTACATTTTACCCTGTCAAATTCTTCTTTGAAAGACTTTGCAGTACATTATTTTCACTATCTTTTTTTAATGTTATTTAGATTTTAGTTTTAACATAAGAAGTTATCCGCTCTCTTTGTATGTTCATATATTTGTGCATTTTGTTTTAGGTTCGTCTTATGCACGAAGCTCTGTGGTAACAGCTGTTAAATTTACAATATCTGACCATCCTCAGCCCATTGATCCGCTGTTGAAGAATTGCATTGGTAAGCATGGGGTGTGGTTAATTCTAAAGTGGTTATTACAGTGGACATATGCAGATTGCTCAGTTGCCCACATTGTAATGAGTCGAATATCTACCCATGGTGAATTGTTTAAGCTTTTAGAAAGTAATATGTGCTTTGTAAATTGATATTTATGTATCACTTCAAAACACAAATTGCTGCCATGCAATTATATATTTATTGTCTTGACATTGTCTGCTGAATTTATTGGACACATGTACCAAAACTACAATGGCGGTAATTTACTAAAACTGGAGCAGACAATATATGGAGCAGTTGTCCATGGTGGCCAATCAGCTTCTCTCGTCAGCTTGTTTAGTTAAACTTTAAACATGAAAGCTAGAAGCTTATTGGTTGCAATGCACAGTTGCTCCAGTCTTTGTACATTCCATTCAAGGTGTAATATCACACTAAATACAAGGTATGTTCTAATATTTATCTGTAGTACAAATTAGCAGTTAATGATTGCTTGAGTTCCATCCAGGATACTCTTATTTCCTCCTGAGTAATCATTTAGGGTAGATATTTTTGTTTGACAAGGTCATATATAGTAGAGCTGCAGCTAACGATTATTTTCAAAATCGATTAGTTAGCCGATTATTAGGTTCGGTTAATCGGATAAACAATAAAATAAAGTTTAAAAAAAGGCTCCAGTGATGGGACTACTAGTTTGTATTGAGGTTGTAGTCCATCACAGGAGCAAGCTTGGAGCGGTGGAAGTAAAAAGAAAGATAGTGTGGTGTGCAATATAGTGAAATGGAAAGTGTAAAATTATACAGCAATGAATGCAGAATACCGCCAGCTATAGAGGAATACAACAAATCCCAGCAATAGTACATAATAGCTGGAGGCATTCTGCATTGCGCTGTATAATGTACTATTGCTGGGTTTTGTAGTCCTCTATAGCTGGTGGTATTCAGCATTGCACCTCTGTATAATGTATTATTGCTGGGATTTGTAGTCCTCTATACAGCGCAATGCAGAATATCACCAGCTATAGAGGAGTACAACAAATCCCAGCAATAGTACATTATACTGTGCAATGCAGAATATCAGCAGCTATAGAAGAGTACAACAAATACCAGCAATACATTATACATACAGTGTATAATGTATTGCTGGGATTTGCATTCCTATGTATAATATACAGCACAATGTACCATCAGCTATAGAGGAATACAAATCCCAGCAATACATTATAGAGTACCATGTGTGGGGAAAGTGCAGGCTTACCTGAGCAGTCTTCCAGCAACTTGCTTCTGAGATCGGGCCTGTCTATCGGCGGCTGTCATCCCCCCACACCTGCTCCTCCTTACTACATCTCCCCGCGTCCCTGTGCCGATCGTGGATGTGGGTGGGCGGTGAGTGTGCGGCGTGTGGAGCATGGATGCGGGCGGGTCTGGCAGCGGCGAGCGTGAGGTGGGGAGGAGGTACGGCGCACAGCGTGTGGAGCTGTGAACAGGGCCAACTGATCGGAAGCCGATTAATCGATTATTGAAAAAGTTGACAACTTTTTCAATAATCGATTATGTCGATTAGTTGTTGCAGCCCTAATATATAGATGTTGCAAAGACAGACCAGGTTCTACAAAGCTTGGTGTGGTGAGGGACCCTTTCATTATAGAAATATAAGAATTTTGGTATTAAAGGTGCAAACTCTGAGATCCTGATCCTGGGTTCACTACAGACAGAATCTCTGGTCTGAAACAGGTATGTATCCTGAGATGTGTGCAAAATCTTAAACTCCTTTCCTGCATGCAAGTAAGCAATTCATTAGGTATTGGGGATAAAGATGACCGCCCTGGAGTCTCCACCTTTAAAAACCAGTCAGTGACCGCTGCAAGATGTTTATTCTTAGATTACAAGTAAGGACTTACTCCATGATGGTGTCAAAAATAGGAAGTTGGGAAAAGTGTATGAAATGGGCATGCAATACTGCAGGGAAACGTTAAACCGCAATTCGTCCTCTTTAAATAACAATGTATTTATTTATAAAATCTTCTTGCATTACTAGTGTGTTAACTTGTATTTGCAACCACAGGTGACTTCCTGAAAACACTGGAAGATCCAGACCTAAATGTTAGACGAGTAGCCCTTGTGACGTTTAATTCTGCTGCCCACAACAAGCCTTCACTGATCAGAGACTTGCTTGATTCTGTGCTTCCACATCTGTATAATGAAACAAAAGTTAGAAAAGAGCTAATAAGAGAGGTTAGTAGTGTGTGCGTGCATTTTTCTCAGACAGCTGCTGGTTACTATTCTCAATTACACTTCTTTATTCCAGGTGGAGATGGGTCCTTTCAAGCATACAGTTGATGATGGCTTAGACATCCGGAAAGCAGCCTTTGAGTGTATGTATACTCTTCTTGACAGCTGTCTGGACAGACTGGACATCTTTGAGTTCTTAAATCATGTTGAAGATGGTCTAAAGGATCATTATGACATAAAGGTAAATGTGCTTTTGGTAATTCTTTTTAGGTTCTTAATTTGTACAGTATTTAAGTATAACCAATTCCAAAATAAAAAATTTAGGATGTATTACTAAGTGACCTTGTCATTAACTTTTTTGTTTTGTTACTTAAATGGTTTTTCTGTTTTATTTAGATGCTTACATTTTTAATGTTGGTTAGGCTATCCACACTCTGTCCAAGTGCTGTACTGCAAAGGTTGGATAGACTGGTAGAACCCTTACGTGCCACTTGTACAACTAAGGTATGCAACATAGTTGTTTTTGACAATGACATTGATAAGTTTAAAGCAGTATGTTAATTTTAATGCATGTGCCAGCAATTTCTTGTACCTTACTTCCCTTTTACTCTGCTGCTCCATGTGTCCTGGGAAGCAAAGTAACATTTACTCACAAGTATATAAACAAAAAGATATACTTTGTGATGAACCTAAAATTTGATATACTAATCACAACTGAATCATGATTTGATCTTTCATCTTTTTCTATCATGATCTTTTGATATAATCTGTGGAATTAAGACTGTTAAATGGCAACTGTTACTAAAGTGCAAGTGTAGTTACACTATATAACCTTGCTTATCTCTCCTGAGCTAAATTATAATAGGATGCTCACTCCATCTGCTAATTTACTAATGAAAGGCTGCTGCAATCTGCTCCGAGTGGCGTCTGGTTACAGCATCCCTTCAATACTTGCTTTAAAAGCTGCCACATCTGCATTGAATCATCATTGACTTATTTGGGGGTTCCTTTCGTTCTCAGATGGCACTCTTTAGGTGTGTAAGTGCTCAATGCTCAAACCCAGGCAGCATTGAAAACATTATGTTCAAAACTAAGCTGCAGTTGGCTTCCTGAGATATGTAATTGGGGTGGGGGTTTTCTGGTAAAGTTTCTCTGGAGGGTGACCTACTATATACAAGGTGAAATATGCTAAATATAGATCTTTTTGGAAAAATATACCGTACTTCAGTTGTAAACAATTTTTAGCAATTTAATATCTTTATGTTTTTAAATCAGCGTGCCCAAAAATACTTGTTTACATAATCTGTTAACACATAGCCTGAACTAAGAAAAAACTTTTTTTTTTTTTTTTTTGGTGTACGGATGGAACAAGATAAGTACAGACTTCCCTGAGACAATCTTCTCTTGTACTTTGATAATAGGACACAGCAGTCTTCTTTTCTGATTATTCACATGCAATATAGTTGTTAATACATAAACTTTAATGACCATTTCCATATGTCTTCAGGTAAAAGCAAACTCTGTGAAACAAGAATTTGAGAAGCAAGATGAACTAAAACGTTCAGCAATGAGGGCAGTGGCAGCACTTTTAACCATTCCAGAAGCAGAAAAGAGCCCGTTGATGAGTGAATTCCAGTCCCAGATCAGCTCAAATCCTGAACTAGCAGCCATATTTGAAAGTATTCAGAAAGATACTTCCTCTGCTAACCTGGAATCAATGGACACAACTTAAACAGCTATATCAAGGAGGGACCATAACATTGAACCATAAAATGCACTGAAATTGACAGGTTCTAAAAGAGGAAAGAATGAAATATCTTAAGTTTCAAGCTTCACAATGTTCCACTTTCTTTACACTTTAAGAAGATGGTTTGGCTTAATTCCATTGTTGCTTTTTGTAGCATTGATTCCAGGAATATAAATGTCCATAATCAAGATATTATTGGTTTGACCATTTTAATAATGGCTATAGCTTAGAACACAATGTTTGAAGATAACTTTCAACATCCATTTGCCCTGTAATGTTTAGGATTAAAACTGTTAAAATGGACCATGAATATAATTTTTATTCCATATTTTTTTCTCCAGCAGCTGAACACATGGCTTTTTGTACAACTTCTCTTCTGTTTCTTTGATTCCACTACATAAAAAGTTCTGGCTTGCAGATCTACGTCTTTGTAATGTTCATTATACCAGACCTGTCCAGAAAGTAAATACCCCTTCAAATCTGTTATGGTAGAGGTCTTTCTGCAATCTGCATTTAGTTTGCATGAGCGGGTGCACAAATAAGTGTAATATATATATATAAAAACGCATGCAATTTTACATGAGTTGCAAATTGACTTGCAGTTTTCCTGTTACACAACATATAAGCATTTGGATGTGCTATAAAACATTAGGTATATGTGATCGCAGAACACAGTGCAATGTAGGCTTTCAGCAATTTAAATAGCCTGTTTCAAGAATACTTTAGAACATGTAAAAGTACGGTCTTTACTTTATCAGTGTTTTCCTCCAAGCACAACATTCCTAACCCTCTTGTATACCTTTGTACTTGTGAGCACTGTTCTCATGCTCTATTTCAATCTTATTCATTGCAAGCTTACCAGAACTAATCTGGCTTGGCATGTAAGGTTCGAGGTAAACTGCTGTTCATGGTATATGGGTATTTTTGCTTTGTGCAAAATATGTATTGGCATGCTCCCTTTATCACCTACAGGGTTTTCAACTTTACAACTTTCCTACAGTAAAATTCTAAGTAGAATTGGAGGAAGGTGTGTGAGTCAATAGCTTCCAGCCGTAGGAAAAGACAAAACAAAAAATACATGGATTAACAGGCTTATGGGTATATCTGTAGTATACAAGGGCCAGAATACTGCTACAGTTTGATATCCAACCAGAGAACCGACAATTGCTGTGTTCACAAAACATTTACCCTTCAAATCATGGCATGTTTTGGACTTTTGGCACTCCTATCTTTAGAATATTAGTGTACACTCTTCCGAGGGTGTTATATATATTTAAAACAATTGTGTGTTGAAGGCTGCCAAAAATGGATAAATGGGACAGCATAATTGTAATCAAATCTAGAGGTGTTTCTCCTGTGATCTGGAACTTGGAAACTCTTTAAAACTGGATGTAATCGAAAACCCATCCTCCTGCCGCCTCCACGTTATCTACTTTTGCATTGTAAGGATAATTTGATTCATGATTTGTGTGCCTTACAATTGTTAATACGGCTAAATGGGTGTTTGTCCCCCCCTTTGGCTTATTTACTAGCTAGTAAGTTAAATGTTCCATATAAACTGTGGTCACCGTAAGCCACAGCTGCTACAGGTCCCAGACACAAAGAACTCATGTACTTATCCTTAGTCGTCACTGTAGGTATGTACATTTTACAGTGCCCTATATTTGAGTCTTTTTTTTTTTTTTATAATTTGAAAAAAAGACGGTGGAATTTGTAAAAACGTTATAGTTTCTCTAAATGACAGTGGATAAATTAAACTATAATTATTTAAAGACTATCTTGAACATCTATTTTTTTAGTGCATGCCAAAACAAGGGCCTTTTACTTTTGGACTGGAGGTTTATTCAAAAAAAAAAATGTTCCCCCCCAAATTGTCTTCCAGGACATCACATGAGAGGCCTCTTGCTACGGAACAGGAAACATCACTAAAAACACTTTTGTGCCCTATATTTTAGTTTTTTTTTTTTTTTTTATAATTTGAAAAAAAGACGGTGGAATTTGTAAAAACGTTATAGTTTCTCTAAATGACAGTGGATAAATTAAACTATAATTATTTAAAGACTATCTTGAACATCTATTTTTTTAGTGCATGCCAAAACAAGGGCCTTTTACTTTTGGACTGGAGGTTTATTCAAAAAAAAAAAAATGTTCCCCCCCAAATTGTCTTCCAGGACATCACATGAGAGGCCTCTTGCTACGGAACAGGAAACATCACTAAAAACACTTTTAAAATAAAGTCCTTTTGTTGATTTGTCAGTTATTGTCTTGCCTTCATCTGAAGGAGACACTTTGCTTGAAACTTGGTAGGAGGCTCATCTGAGGATTCTTACCGGTTCTTTATCCACCCCCTTTTGCCTCACCTTCCCTGATGGGGCTCTGATCCATCCTTGCCATCTAGTCCAGTCCTATTTATGGACAGAAAGAGGTCTGAGCCCACTGCCTTTTTTTAGTGCCTGTAGTCGGCCGGTACTGGGGAGGTGACTTCCCTCTTGGTGGACCAGTCTGGTGTGGTTACCTTCTCGTGGTGGTTAAGTAACGTCACTGCTGGGTATGCACCAGTTCAGTTGACCAGTGATGCCAGATACCAAGTCTGTGTGGGGTAATGTCACTGCCTGGGAGCCGAAACTCTTGGTTCCTGGGCTGCAGGGCTGACGCATCTTCTAGCCAAGCCTCTTACAGAAGGTGATGTGAATGCTGGAAGCCTATTATGGGAGTTTCTTCCCTGTACTTCCTGCTATAATTAACCCAGGATCAGACCGCGTCCCCCGCAGTGATAGGTGCTGGTAAAATGCAGGAAAGCTTGTAGTCGGCGTTGTCTCCCAGTTACCTGTGTTTGTAGTCTATGGTTGCTACACTTCTTTCCCCTCAGTTTTCGCTGGGCCCTGTCTGCGACACTATATGCCTGGTGCTAGACTTCAGTTGTCCTAGAACCGATGGCTATACATCACCCTTGGCAACCTGGTTCATTACCCTAATGATGGCAGGCCTGGGACTTTTTTTTTTTTGTGACCCATGTGCTGTATTTGGGAGTTTGATATAGGCCTAGTTAAATATGATGCACACTCTCGGGGCTCCTGCCTAACCTATAGCTGCTATGACAGTGGTTTTGGGCACACAGAGCATGTCCACACATCTCTACCTAGTGCAGACAGTGTTATTAGCTGACTGTTATTGGTTTTGGAGATAGTAGTCTGTGGGGAACAGAACAGATTGTGATCCTAAGAAGGGGTCTGAAATTACTATAAGGTCCATTTAGGACTGCCCTGCCACAGTTTCTGGCAGTGCAGACACGAGCCTGAAAATTTGGTTGTACAATACGTGTACTATCTTTTAGAAAGTTGCAACTTCCATACATCGCCAATGTATCTTGAAATGCTTTAGTATAAGATTGTGATGTGTGCGGGTCACTCTATTTTATCGCAAGACAGATTTGGCGGTATCCCGGAATATGTATTTTTCCATTTGCTTTGCAGTTGGCACTTCACCCTGCTATATCTATCCAAGTTTTACTTGATAGTAGATTGTTCTTTACTTCTAAGTTCCTTTTTACTTTTTTTTTTTTACTTAACTGCTGCCTAGGTGTGTTTTGCCTCCCAACCTTCAGGCTGTTTGCTGCAATCTCTGTGTTACACTATTTCACTTCTACTTTGTCTGCATGTACCTCATATGCTTACTCTTGCTAAGATATATTCAGGTCTGGTTTAAAAGCTGTATCCTTTTTGGGTGCTGGTGTTGTGTTTTGTTATGCATCCTGCTCCTCTATTTAACCTTCTCTGACTACCAACTCTTAGCCTCTAGGGGATTACCAAAAGTTGAATGTATTGCAGGTAAATAACCAGTAACTTGGTTTAAAATATGGTACAACTCAGGCATAATATATGATTTTTAGGGCCACGCAGTCTGTGTAATCCTAACATTTGTCTGCTTGCAGTATATGTATCATGTATCTTATTTGACATCACCACAACTGTGGCCATATGCATTTTGCAATATGTTTTGTCCGTGTTCTTACATACAATAAATTGGGATCAGTTTTCTTTTAGATTAATATTTTGTGTATTCATATTGTCATTTTATCATGAATACACCTATACATTTGTTGGTACCCTCAAAGCGCATTGAAACAATGCATCACTACTGAAAAGTGATGTAAACCGTTTTCTAATGAATACCTGCATGCCTTTTGGTATATCATAGAGTAAATCAAAAAGTGTGAGAAGAGATACAACATTGCTTATTCTACAAAGATATTCTAAAATGGCCTGGATAGATTTATATTATAAAAATAATTTAGAAATAATTGGATCATAGTGACATTTCAAACTATTTTCTGTAAGGAATATCACAAATGGTTTTTAAATCTTGTAGTCAGTCAGCCTATTTAAATGGAGAGAAGTAGACACTTGTTAGGCACCATTGTGCACCACACTAAACATGGACCAGAGAAAGCAAAAGAGTTACCTAAGGAGTTAAGAAAATTATAGGCCATCATTTCAAAGGTAAAGGCTACAAGGCCATTTGCAGCACTTGATGTTATAAATATTAAGAAGTTAAGAGTGTAGCTAACTTTCCTGGACATGGCTAGAAAATCAACCCCAAGATTGGACAGGATAGTGTAAATGGACAAAGATCCAAGGAGAACCTTCAAAGACATACAAGCTGAACTCAAGTCAAGGCAGTTCAATGTGTGTACCATTGAAGAAATAAGTCACCAGCACTCAAAGAGTTTAAAAATGAATAAGTCCTTTTTTATTGGACAATGGTGTCACGACCATCAAAAAGAGCCGACGTTTCGGGGCCATGCAGGGTCCCTTTCTCAAGGCAGACATGTGCCTTTCATTATCTGCCTTGAGAAAGGGACACTGCGTGGCCCCGAAACGTCGGCTCTTTTTGATGGTCGTGACACCATTGTCCAATAAAAAGGACTTTTTCATTTTTAAACTCTGAGTGCTGGTGACCTATTTCTTCAATTGTTCGTTTTGCACGGTGCCATCCGTGGAGTTACTACAAGCACCATCTTCGTTTATTGGCCGGGACTGCTGAAAGGTGTGCGGAGAGCACCCTCACCTAACTGCAATGTGTGTACCATTCATCAGTTTTTGCTGCATCTGGCATTGGGTGCATACAATGTGTGTAGAGCAGATGCCTCTAAAGGTTGACCATGACATTTTACTTGTTTTATTTAAAATATTCAATGGAATCAAATTTAAATCAATATTGAATAAACGATGGATGCCAGTTACGTGGACATACCATAGTTTCCCAATAAATGAAGCAGCTCTTTTTTTGAGATTAGACTTCATTATGTTGTATTTTATAGTTATTTTTCTCATACGTGGCAATTCAGCAGCAGGGGCTTCATGCAAAATATATTTTTTAGTGATTATACTGTATTTCCTGGGCCTCATACATTGGACGCATTT